CCCCTCCCCGCCCGGCAGCGCAGGCTGGAGATCACCGATCGCCCGACACGCCGGACACCTTCTGTGCCCGTTACCGGCTCAAAGGGAGCACTGAACGCTGCGGTTTTATCTCGGTAAATAAGTTTAAAAACATCCAGGAGCTTCCCGGACCGCGCTAGTATCTTACTGCGCTGGCTGGCTGCAGCAAGCAAGCAAAAACCACAAGATCCCACCGTGGAAGCCGCTTACCTTCTCCGTCTTCATCCCGGCCTCAGGTTTTCCTGCCGCGGCTGGGCCGTGGCGGACCCTCCGGGTGTCCTTCCCACTGCGCTGGCCCGGGACCCCTCCTTGCACGGTACCTTCGTGAGCATGCAGAGGGCTTTCCAACAGTGCGGAGGGCAATTTCATCCCTTTAACCTGTTCTAGCTCATCAAGGCAGAGCCTGTCCTGGGATTTCTGGGTGACTGAACTCAGGAATTTCTGAAGGTATTTTTAAGCTCTTCTAAAGAGAGGCAACATTGAAGACTGAAAGTAATAACAAAACTCATGTATTTGAATAGCCTGTCACATACCACAGTCCTGCATGTCATACACAGTTAGGAATCGTACTGCCACTGCTCACTAGTTTCAAAATGTTTAAACTCAGTTCAAAACCCCCGACCAGGGGAAGGACTCGCACGGATTTCAGCAGGCTTTGGACCCTAGACTCTTGGAACAAGTTTCAAATTCCAGCAGCCTTTTGTTTATCCAAGAAAGATAAACTAAGTGGCCTGTTGAATACTGCATGAGTTTTCAGGCAAGATCTGGAAAACAACAGGTCTTTGCTCAGAATGGACATTAAACATCCTGTGACACTTTCTATGAGAACAAAGATAAAAAAGGACCTTTTCTTTCCCTTCCCAAACACTCTTGTCTGACAAGGACTGCCTGGTTCATGTCTTGCACCCAGGACCTTGCTGCCTTTCAGTGCTGCTATAAACAGCAAGTGCGAATCTCCCAGGAGAGCACAAGCAGAGCCTAAGGAGAGGGTGGCTGTTACGTGTTTGTCGCTGGTCTTCCAGGGTAAGTTCAAAATATTTCAGGGTATGGAAGTACGCTCAGCTGGAGTAAGCAGAGCTGCTTCTGGCCACATTCTTAGTAGGAAGAGACCGCTCTTTCCAGGTCTTAGGGCAACTCTGAAAGGGACTGTGGCATAAACTGGCTAGCACAGACTGGTCTGCAAGTACTTGCCCTTCACTCTGCACACAGTGGGGTGAAGCCCACACCAGCTGCACACACACTCCCTTGTGCATTACAAGTACTCCCTTACTGCTGTACGGCGGCTTGCAGCAGCTGTAGAGAAAAGGGCTAGATTTTCCCCATCAAATGTGTGGGGAACAAAAACTTTTTCTTGGTCAAGAGAAAAAGTAGCTCTCACTCTTGGTGAGATTTGGATTTCGCTCTTTTTACAGTTCTATAGTATTTTGGAAAGATTTCTAATCTTACAGCAAGTCTCATCGGCGGCGTTTCTATGACAATCCCCCATCAAGGATGGGAATACCACCAATTATGCAAGTTGGCTCTGGGTCAACAACAGGTAATGCTTTCTTCTTTGCGGTGTGGCAAGGATATGGTCAGAGCACCACAGAAGAACATCACGTGAACAAAGCACATCACGTATTTTAAGTACTGGGAATACTCATAAATATGAGCTGCAACATTGCTCATCTTTTGCTGACCCTCACTAAAACAATATGCATGACTTCACGTAGCTCTTTGGAGCAACACTAACAGAAATAGGTGGTCTTGGTTTATATTCATGTTTTCCACATTTGTGACAGGTTTCCTCTAATCACTGCTAGAACAGATTTTTCTCATACAAGTTTCAACTGCAGATACCTGATAAATGATCTGTTGCACTGTTCCATCTAGCAGTTTGACAAACAACACCAAATATAATTCACTTGTAGTGACCTCCTTGGTTGCAGGACTATGCATACCGCTTCTCTGGAACTGCTGTCATCAGGACATCCAAGGAATACATTCCCTCACCTGGAGTGCCTGACCAGGTAAAGACAACACATCTGAGAGGGTTTTTTGTTTTGTTTTGGTCTCTATGCAAACACAAGCAAGAATAAAACCTTCATACTTTTTCTATACTTTCCAAACCAAAAGAATCAGACAGTGTAAAACTAGAATATGGTGGGTGAGGTGAGTGCTTTTACAGTTTGGAGGATGGTTAGGTGCCATGGTACAAGGTATGAATGGCCTCTCTCAGCATGTATGTGCTTTAAGATGTTAGCCTTTATATACAATCATTTGCAGTAAACTCAAAACTACACTACCCTCCTTCCTCTTCCTTCTTCCTCTACCTTCCTAATAAAAGCAACCCACATTACAGGGATATACTGTAACTGTACGGTCAGAGTAACATTTTTAGATGTGGTCACTAATATTTGGATCTCCAGCCTTTGATACTTTATAGTCAATGGGACTCATGGCCTGACATCTTGAAAATTCAGCCAAAGACATCACAGGTTGGACAAACTGTAATCTCTACAGTTTCCTCAGTTTCCCATCTGCAGCTATAATCCTCATCTTGCATACCCCAAGGCGAGTAGGTACTCGCCTACCAGTGAGCAAAGCCTCCTTTAGATGAGGTCCAAGCTCTGTTGCTTACCTGCATACTGGGCTTCAGCAGAAGATCAAAAGACAGTGATAGATTCCTCAAAATACATTGCTCTATTAGTCACATATGGAATCTGGGTTAGAAAAAAAGGGTATGTAATAGTTATTGCACAGTCTTCTCCCTTTTTACATTAGAAATTCCTGGAAAGTAAGAACAAAGGTCAGAGCAAAAAGTTGATTAGAAAATACCTTGTTTCTAAGGATGCCCAGCACTACATGCAGCTATATCTTGCAGTCTAATTTGCCCAAATGTCTGCATTGCCTTCCTGAATTTTGGGAAAGGCTGGCAGAAATATCCTCTATTTCTTGATATAAACTAGATATAGGCAGATTAATGTTTAATACTAGTTGAACAAGAGGATGATCCATCTCCTTTTAGTGATTACAAGCTTCCATACTTCAAAGCTAGGAATGAGAAAGCCCAGAAGTTATCCTTTGTTTTTTCTTTTGCTAACTTCAATAACAAAAGAACAGAAAGACAAATCCTTAGTCCTGCCTACATTTCAAACCCAAAAGGTTTGAAATTCAGTCACCTTACACAGTGTTAGACTATTTTGTTATCATGAAACGGGACTGTCATTTTTAACAACCTGCTGCTGATTATCTGTGATCTCCATTCTGGTCTATCATTGAAATCCTTTAAATCCTGCCTCTAGAATTAGCAGCATGGCATTTCTCTTTACAGTAGGTGTAAAGCTATACAAACTATTATCAAAAGCATTTTTTAAACGGATTGTGTTTTCCCAGTGTAAACTGGGCCTTATTCACATAAGTTAGAATTTACAGAATGAAGCACAAATCCCAGAAAAGAGGCACCTCAAATTCACTCTTCCACTGCACTTGCACTTTTAGGTCTCACTACATGCAGTAAACTTTTGGACACATATTTACTGAAGATCAGCACTCCAGCTAGTCAGAATTTTCCAGTGCAGTAATCTTTCACTAGCGAACACAGATTCACCAAAACAAATGTTCTGTGGAAACGTGGTTCTGACAAACATTTGGTAGTACAAAGACAAGGGATTTAGGAAATCTTGTCTGTCACATAACTTTCCTTTGGCAGCCTGCTAGGCTTCCTGCTAACTTGCTTTTTTGGTGGAAAAAGAGAAATTTCAAAATGTCTGAATTTCATTTCAGATCAGAAGGAAGCCTTAATTGGATGTTGGAATTTTTCACAGCATGGGAATAATAAATTTGAATTAGTTGTACTTGGAAGCAAGCCTTTGCAGAGCCTTTCCAATCTCTGGCTTCCATACCCACTTGACTGTGGACTAGAGGCTCAGGCTATTTCAATCTATATAGGAATCTGACACCAAAAATAGCCGTAGTGTTGCTCAAGTCTGAGGAGAGCTAAGGCTTTCCATGGCTTTGCAATTGTTCATGGCATTTTGTTTCTCTTCTCTCACTGGATGACACACATGGCTTGCCATGTCCTTCAGCAGAAAGTGTTAGCAACTTATCCTGCATATCGCAATGGTAAGAATACAACACCAGACTCCCCCTCAGTTGTACCAACACTTGGGGAAAAGCACAGCAAGGTCTGCCCCTCTGAATAGCTTGCACAAATAGATAAGGCTGAACAGGGGTTCAAAGCCTGAAGGCAGTGCAGGTCTGCTTTATGTGACCCCCAAACCTGGCCACAACACCAAACGGAGGAAGATAGTGAGCTGTCATCCATTCTCCACACCTCTACGTGGCATAAAAGCTGTCACCTGGGGGGAATGGGCTGTATCTCAGACAAAATTACAGTCAGCATTTGCTGACTGCTGGGGCTTTCCAGGAGAGCTCTTCACAGTTCCCTGGATATGCTGTCACTCCAGACTTTTTTTGATCCAGCTTACCTGTAAAATGCACAGCTTAACAACTAGCAATAATTTCAATTCAGTTTTCACTACTTAATTCCTGTGTTTGCTGTGTTCACAGGCTGGGGAGGAGTTTCTTTGCTTTCAAGTTTAATATACTCCTTTATATAAAATATGCCCATTGATAATATCTACAGCAAACATTTACAGATCTAACAAACTCAGAAAATACTGTCATTCCACCTAGAGAGCAAATTACAAGCATCAGAGATTTCTGTTTTATTTGGAGATGTATCAGATTAGTTCCAGGGACACTTATGTAACGCTAAAACCTTACAGCTGCGTGTGTGCGTGTGTGTGTATAAGCATTTTTATTTGTTTGTTTTCTTCCTCTTTGATTTGAGCATGTGTAGACAGAGGGCTAAACGAGAGCCAGCTAAATGTACATCAAAGACTCCCTGCTAAATATCCTGTAGCACGATATTTAGGTAAATCTTGTGATGTTGATTCTCCATGGCCTTGCATTTCAGCAGCGGCTACATGGCTGCCAAGCAGGACAGGCTGCCACCACACTAATGAGCAAGTTTCGTTTCCCTGCTGCCAAACTAGAGTGGCTAAGTAAGGTGTCTCGTGGCTTTCCAGCAAATTCTTTTTAACATTGAAATTCAGCAGCCACTTGAAATAAGAGAAAAGTGAATTTCTGAGACTGATTTCTATAGGAAATAGAAGAAAACGGGAAATTTTCATCCAGAAACGAGCACAGTCACCCCGGTCCAGACTGGCTTGTAGCTATGCACACCTTCACAGGATACACCACCCAAGCTTCTAAGAGCAACGGAGTAAAGAAAGTTTCACTGGGTTCACTGCTACTCTCTTTTTTTAAGCCTCCTGATTTAATTGGAAAAGAACTGGGCAGGAACTGAGATGGTGGGTGGCAATGCCATCTAGTGGGAAGACTGGAATCAAGAGACCGACTCTTTTGTGCCACTGATAACTGTTTGGCTGGGGTAGGTTTGAGGTGTCACTTCTATCCATGTAGGCCTAGAGCTAGTAGGTCAGCACACAAAAAACATTTTTATCGGGCTTTCTTAACTGTAAAAATACATGGATATGGCACAAGGCTTGGGGATTCTGCAGTGGACCTACAAAACACAAGAGACTTCCATCTCATGCACATGCATGCACTCACACAAGTGCTTTCAGGCAGGCCTGGGTAAAGACATCCTTCGCTATTCTCGAGTGGTAAATACACATCTGCGTGTAGCCTTGAAGCCTAATCATGTCTGCTCAAGAACATGAAATGTAAAACGCTAAAGAGGCATAGAACGGTAGCTACTGTATCATTTAGTTGCTGTATGATTAATGCTACTAATTTTAAGACTAGTAACAGAAACATATTTCCTCAATGATAGATTTCTGATTCAAGCTTTAGTAAAGTTTTACTAACTGAAGGAGCTTGTTTGTTTTTAAAAGCACTTCTTCGATGTTTGTGTACTCAGTCTTTTTCCTGTGGCCAGATATTCCCAACAGTAGTGTGCATACACCGAAACTTTAAAAAACATAATGCTGTGAAGCAAATGTCCATGGAAATCTGATAAAAACGATCTTGTAACTCTTTCCATGTTGTAAGGTGTGTTAAAAATCAAGCTCCTAGTAACAGAAAAAAAAAAATCAGAAATTGAAAAAAGTCTTCCTAGCAAAAACGAAGCTGACCTTGATGCTTGTTTCCCTGAATGAAAGTTGAATTCATTTTCAGAGATCAGTTCCTCTTTTCTGCAGCTTCACTTTTTTGGATGCAATTTCTAAGCAAGGGAAGAGGGGTTAAAAAAAAAAAAAGAATTTTGAGAAGGATCAGCTCCTGAATATTTTTGGGCCTACCTGTACATGAGAAAGAGCAATTGTACTGTGAGGCAGGTTATGGGTCACAGTCTGTAGCCTTCACCAGGAAACAGCCTTGGATTCCCTTGTACTGTTCTTCCCTCTTGAAAGAGGCAAACCAGTGACACATGGGGCCTTGCCATACTGTGCAAGCAAATCTGCTGAGAGAAGACTTCAAACCTCCTATATTTGAAGAGAAAAAGAGAAAACTTACTTTCTAAGCTGAAAAAGAAGCGACTCTAAAACACTAGGAAATTTGGGAAAGGGTTTTTGATTTACTTCATAAACATTTACAGGATTATTTTGTGCACAGCCTTTTGTAGCCAAGTGCAATATGCTGAATGCTAGCTGGGTAACAGCATGCTCCCTGATTATGTCCAAAGAACAGCATGTATTTGTTTACTTAGTCAAATAACAGTAGGGGTGAGGTTGCTCAAAAAAACAAAACAAAACAGTTCTACTAAAAGGAATTAAAATTTCTTTTAAGTACATTTGACTACTTTTCATGATTCATTTAGCCAGACGGATTTGATAATGAAAACCTCACTTATTCATTTAGTTGTTTGAATTAATATGTTATTTTAGGAGTTTATTTTTTAAAGAGATAAAATATAGAAATAATTTTCAAATACAAAAGAGCATTCTCAATTTTCAGATCAATTCTAATAATTACTTCGTTTTTATTTCAATCTCCCAGTAAAGCGTAAACATTCTTCTCATCTGAAGAAAGGACTTTGTCATAGCTCCCATTGCCCTTCCCACACTATACCACTACGTTTGGCAAAACAGACGTTCACAGATCACATTTGATTATGCTGCCTCAGTGACACACCAGACTAGGGACATGCTGACAATCAGGATAGGATGGGGGCAATGCCAGTAGAAAGAGAGGGGGGACAGATTCAGCAGAATAGATAATACTATTATTATCTCAATGCAGTATTACTTTATGATTTAGCGCTTTATACGAGAATACTTTGATTGCAATCTCCCAACTGGTGCAGCTCTTATAAAAGCTTGTAGACAACAATATTTTGATCTACACATTTTTGTTATTGGCTTGAGGCATTAGCTCCCGCATCCTTACTGGCGCACGCACCCCTATTTCAACGCAGGCCTAGCGCTCGCGTTGCAAACTCCTACAAGCTCAGACTAGCTTTTTGTTTTGTTTTTGTGCAGTGACTAACACATATGAACATAAAAAAAACAAGCACATCATACCAGTAGCCACATTATGCCGTTGCTTGAAGCACTGTTGTCTCTGTTGCAACAATCTTGTGCGTTATCAAATAAGCAACTGCTCTAAATGAGGCTCTGCCTTGCTCTCAGCCTTGTTGCTTGAAGCTTTCAGTGTAAGAGACAGGCTATGATCTCCCTCTCAAGGGAAAGTTCCTCACTCAGGAATTTAAACCAAAAGCGTGCAACATTTGGAAAAAGAGTAGTTCTCGCATCTTTGAGAAAGCGGTGATGCAGTTAGCTGAGGCTGCATCCTGCAGCCATGGGCACAAATGGGAATTTCAGTTAAACTCGGCTCTTCACACACATTGACAAGGCTGCTTTGGGACATGGTAACATTTGTTACAGGGTAACTTCTCCTTCGCTTTGTGCTGTGAAGTCCAGGTTTGCTTCAAACTTTGAAGTTTTGAAGAGAGATGGGTCAAAAAAAGGCTGGAAAACAGTAAAGTGACCAACTTGAAAAGACACTTGAGAACCAGGACATTCCCTGATTCATCACAACTGTGGAAACCAAGCAAGAACACTTGGAACAGGGAGTGACACACCGCTCTGCTTGCAGTACAACATAATACCATTTCAGGGTGTTTATCCTCCTTTATTGCTTTGAATCATATTTTTAACTTTGTGCTTCACAGATGCTTCCAGGGTGTTTAGAAATAAAACCCGCAGGGCTGAAAGCCCCTGCCCTGGAGCCTGGCCTAGCCACACCACCCTGCCATTCGCTAGCAGCCCAGGGCTTCCTCAACCCAGGGGAAGCTGCAGGAGGCTGACTGACCCCTTGCTGCAACCAGCTGCTTCCCACAGCTGTGCACGACCCAGCAAATCACCAAAGGCCAGCAAAAGAGAGCTGTGTTTCTGCCAATATGATATAACTGGTTTTGATGTCCAAACCACTTGAGGGCCAGTACATCCCTGTCTCTCTCACATACTGGGAGAGGCTACGTTTGAGACCAGGCCATTGCCTGCACTAGAGAGCACATCTGCATATAGATATAGCGAGCACACCTTGCTAGATAACTTACTCAGGGGTGCTCAACCCAAGTAATAGCCAGTAACTGCTGTAACTTGCCACTATCCAGCTGTACTCTTCTCTCACCTCTGACTGGGGGCTACAGCCCCACTGTACTCCCTGCCTCTCCCACTCTGTCACCCAACCTGTCTCCCACCTCTGCCACATGCTGCGCAGCAGCAGCAGCTCCGGTGTCACCAACACACATGCCACAGGGCTGGTCTCGGGTGCCACGGGGCTCCCCCCAAAAGAGGTGGGCTGCTAGGTGCTCTGGCAAAGAATTAGTTTACTGCTGACTCCTTAATACTTTTCCCACCTTGTCCATGTCACCCTTGTCACTCTCCTTTCCTCCCACAACTCCTGAAGGGGGCCCTGCCGTGACCTTCTCCAAAGCTCACTAGCTTCCCTTCTTCTGAATCTCACAGCTTTTCTTTACTCATTTCTCTTCCATCTTTCCACACGCCAGTACCTCCTCCTGCTCAGAGGCAGTAAATCTTACCTCCAAGACACTTAGAGAGGTCTACCCATTCAGGTTCTCCAATCTTTCACCTTTGCTCTTTTTTTGTTGGGATGTGAAGGAAGAGTGTTTGTAAGACAGACTCCCAGACACAGTCACAGTCCCTATATTTCTTTTTTCTCCAAACACTTTCATATTTATGCTACTATTAGCTTGCAATCAGTCACAATAATATGTAAGAAAAGAAAATCAGAAATTGGATTCAGTTTTTAGGCTTAAACAAGTGTTTATTTTCCAGGATGTTCTACAGAGTTTAGATGTCCTCCACCTCCCAGGTATTGGGAAGTCACAAGACAAAACAGAGGTGTTCTTCTTAGCCTGTATTTCATTTTAAACCCAGATTCAAAGACATCTTGTACTTTGAAAAGCAGATCCCAAAAGATGAACTCATCCAACTGGAAACAATCATGTATGTTTGTTTTGTCACTCTTTCAACCCCATGTTGTTTTCCCATATCTAAAATTCAGTAGCGTCCTGCCAAAGATCACTTGCAAGATCACCTTGTGACAGTAATGGGAACGTAAGTGCTGATAACATCGAAACACTAGGACAGCTTTGCTGAGGTTGGAGCGCACTACAAACATTCCTCTTGCCCTGCAAAAGTCAGATTCTTGTACTTACCCCATGTATCCCACACCATAGTTCTCCATCAAATCCAATACCTTAAATGCCATATCTTAGTCATCTGTCCAGTCAGCTTTAGTAACTTTTACCCAGTAATTTAGTGCAAACACTTTAAAACCTAGAATCCTCTTCAAATACATATATTTATATATATTTTTATATAAACATAAAAATTTGACTTTGTCAAAGCTGTTAAAAATTGGGCTTTCTTGTGGGGTGAGGGCAGTGGGATATGTTTCAATAAGAACAAATGTTTGAGTCAAAAAATAGTGGAACTTGGTACAAGCCATTAGAATTGAAAGCAAGGAATCCTACTCTTCCATTTCAACTTCTATTAATAATTACCTTAGAATATTTCAGAAAGAGAAGCTAGATGATTAAAACAGCCTGGTTAAGAGGTCTCACTAATTTATACTGAAACAAGTACTTTGAATACATATTAAACAATCTGCAAACTCGCCGATCTTCCTCAGGAAAGAAGATCTTCCTTCCCCCTCCCCATTCTCAAAATGAAGTTTCACAGATCTGGCTCTCTCTAGGTTCTACGTAAAAGCTCTGTTACACCACTGTGAAAGAGTTTGGTTGCTCAAAATTCCAGTCTGTACCAGTTAGAGAAAAGCCTAAATTGCTTTTGGTTCATCTGTGGAACAGAAAAAAACTCTTGAACTGTATTTAGGCCCTTCAGATACCTCTGTAGGGGGAAACGAGGCAAAGAACCCTCCCAAGCAAAAGACTGCAGAGAGCAACTGTACACAAAACACAGCAGAAAAATTCAAGATGACAGCCATGCTCTTACAACAGCCCTAAAGTGCTCCTCTATGGCAAAAATACTGGAATAGTGCTAGAAATCACTCACTCATTTGTGCATTACTGTAATCATGGAGGAGATACATGGAAGCAAAACAAAAGCCGAGAATGATGAAGGCAAAGCTTAAAGGAAAACAACAAAATTACAGTACTAGCAGATTCATGAGATGGTGCTGGTGGGGAAGCAGACAATTCCAAGGTAACAAACTAATGCTGCCCTAGCCTCTTCTCCTTCAGAAAATAATTTTACTTACAACCATTTTCCTCTTACACTAGACTCTTGATTTCTCCTACCTAGCCATTTCTCTTAACTCTTCTGTCTCTTCCTTCAGTTTACTAATGTTTTTCCCAAAAGTATGCATTTGTGTGGTACATATTTTAAAGCATTTTTTCCATTCTTTTAACTATAGCAACTGACCTATCAGCCATTTCAAATTTCAAAACAGATTTCTGAAGTTAGTCTCATTTTGTGTTTCTCCTAAAACAGCTATGATCAACTTACCTTACAATCTTTCCTACAGCTAACATTAGGGCAACCAGAATTGTGCTTTCTTTCTTTAACCACACAGCCTAATTTAGGCATCTTGCATAATCTATTTATGTATGTCCTGAATGACTTGTTAGGGTTTCAAGTTTGTTTTTTGTGGACCAGAAGGCTTCCATCTTGAAAAAAAATGTTATTTCATATTTCTTTACTTAACATTAGATTCTTCCTGCACATAAGTTTAAATGCTACGAGGACCAAAACAGCCAAGTAAGAGACCAGGGAGAAACAGATGCAATCTTTCTCTGAAGTGCAAATTGCTATGAGCATCTACACTTTAGTAAAGCATATTTATATCATTGATGTTATGCTTCCCTCTACTGTTTATCATCAGAAGTGCAGTTACTTTTAAGATTCTAAAATCTGGTTAAAACATTAACAGAGAAAGTTTGCACAAAATCTGCACATCTGTTTCCTCCTTTGAGATACAAGAATTATATGCATTTTAAAAATACAGACTACAAAGAAACAGTAGTTGTTTTGACAAAATAAAAATCATTTATAGAAAAGGATGGCGCTAAAGACTTTTTTTTTGAAGCATGATCTGCACAGTCAGCACTGTATCTTCATTACTTCGACATGTCTACACATGGTCATATATGATGCTTAGCACAACAGTATCTGAAGAAAACCCCTCCTTATACCATTCTGGCTCAAAGCACACAAGAAAAAAGGATGATGTTCATTTGACTTTTGCTAGGCAAGATCAGAGCTGATGCAGGCCAGATTAAATTGGTGGAGAGAAGAAAGGGAGTTGGTAAGCAGCCCCCACATCCTGACAGCAACCTGATATTTCAAAGTTGTAGTAATTGTTTCAGAAAGACACTCCCTCTTCCCTAAAGGGTATTTCTGCCACAGACTATAGACAACCATCAGACTGAACAAGCCAGTCAAAGATAGCATCAGCAGGAGGTGACGGTGGCAGGGGAGTCTTGCACATCTCATCCTTTTGTCTGCTCCAGTGTTTGCATATTCTCCCCTGCTTCAGTGTAGGGGAAGATCACAATCCATTGCACAAGAGTAGCCACTAGTAAATCTGTTCATCTTAATTTCTTGGTAGTGTCACTCAAGGGGGAAAAAAAGAGGGCAATAGCAAGCAAGCAATTTTTCATATACCCAGCTAAAATATTTTTCTTTAATAACTATCATCCAGTTTTCAAACAGTTTTCAAATGTGTCCTGCTAAAAGAACATCAGTAACGCTTATGTTTTGCATTGCCATACAAATAACTAAGTTATAGCATAATGCTTCATGTGTTGTACGGTATTATAGCTTTACAAAGGAACAGAGAACTGCACATCAAATGAACTTAGAGGTCTACAATTCTTGCCTAGTAGATTTAAAAAAGGGAAACCAAAAGTATTTCTTTTCCAAAGGGAAAGAACGCTTACAAGTATTTTATCACCTACTGCTAGAAGACCAGAATTACCTTGTCGTGAATCACTGTTGGTGGAAGATTCTTTGATCAAAGGTTGTACTGCAAAGATCAAATCATTCTCGCCAGTATTTCTGAAAACTGAAATAGCTATACATATGACATCGTATATACAGATTTGTTTCCTCTCAATATTCAAAGAAACCCTCTTACCCTTTACTTGCAGGTAAAGCTTAAAAAATAAGCTTAATAAAAGTTTCATCTTGTTGATGAAAAATTAGAGGCACTAAGCAGAACTATCCCTGCTTATCTCAAGCCTAATGTTACATAAAGATTAACTAGAGCATGTTAATATTCTCATGTCGTAGTTGTTTATAACCTATGAACAAGTCAACTTTTAACATGCAAAAAGCCTCAAAGACCAAAGCAATGTAACAAAGGGTTTAAAAAAAGTCAAGTACCAATGAACGATCATGGTAATAACATGTCATACAGCAGAAGCATCACAGAACAGAGTTATGTATTCCACACAAGTGATTTCAAGAAATGAATTCCACAGATGCATTAAAACCTTCAAAATGGTAGTGGTTTTTATTTCTGTCAGACAAGTTAACACTTCGGTTAATAAGAATTTACTTCAACATTTGGGAAATACGGAAATTAATGAGTAGTCCAGAAGTGAAATCACCACCCTAACAAAAATATATTGGATAATACATGTGTGTGAATTTTATACTGTTCCTCTGATGAGCCCTTAACATTATGTGACATCACATACAGGTTCGCAAGACAAAATCATTTACAGATTGGTTTTCAGCCTCTGATTTGTGAGCATTTGAGGTGTTTAAGAAGAGCGAGTTCACACATGCTATAAAGAAGCAACCTAATTACATAGATTTCAAACGGGTCTCAATTCAACTGCAAAAATCTAGAGGTCCACAAAAAAAAATTGAAAATACTATATTGGAATAAATACTCAAACCTTAGTGCCCTGGAGGAAAAATAAACATTAGCTTAAAACCAGAAAATACTTTACTGTGTATTTTTCCAATTTTAGAAACTAAAATTTGAATAATGCAATTATCAGTTGTTTTTCATTAAGATCAAGCTAAAAATTGCAGACTACAGAAAAGTCTTCAAATAAATGGAAGTAATCTCCCTTTGCCATCTAACACCAAGCATGTACCATATAAATAACATCTGTACTACAGAACTCCTCGCATAGAGCGGATATTTTCAACAGAAAGAGGATTTCATTTTAGTGTCAACTCAATTAAAATGTTAGTTTGCATCTTGTTTAAAGTTTTCAATAATATAAAGGAGAATTAATACTGCAAAAGCAATTTTGCCTGTTCCTGATCTTAAAAGTCACATGACTACTGAAAACTTAGTATTTTAAGTGCCCCCTCCTCCCCCGCCAGGTTTGCTTGCGGTCTTGCCAGAAGAAACCCACAGTCACAGAAAGCTTGTCATTTTTTTTTTTTTTTTTTGGGGGGGGGGAAGGGGGAAGCATCTCATCTAATGAAGAAAGAAAAGGCAACAAATCAATAACTAGTTTTCACAGTAAAATGCATCAGCTTTGTAGTTTCATTTGAAACCAAGAACAAATCATGAAACGTCATGAAAATAAGATAAAAAAAATCTCCTAGAGTGATTACTAAAATGAAGTTAAAATTACCACACTAATCAGTAAACCCCAGAAGAAAAGCAGATGCCTCATAGTACAGGTCCTACATTAAACAGTATCCACCTTTTAAAATAAATCCACAAAATCTGTACATTTGGCCACGTTGCACAGATTTCCCCTAAAAAAGACAGCATACAGAAAAAAAAAATCTTGTTATTCCCAGTATGAATTCTGAAGTATAAGCTCAAAACCCAGAAGTTAAAGATCGGCTAAAAGGATTTTAAATTATTTACAAATCCAGCAGGTAGAACTACCATAATGGCTTCATTTCCATCCTTGTAGTGGCTTTCACTCTTATCCAGCAGCATCTGCAGTAGGGATCTCTTTGATCAGCTTTATCACTGGTCATCTGTCATTTTCAGCAATTCTAGAAGAGCCCCAACAGCTCCGAAATAACCCTATAAAACAAGGCAAAGACAAAATAAATCCAATCAAATTCCAAAATAAAATACAAGCATGAGCATGTAAGGCCTTCAGTTCTGGTAAAGCAATTAAAAACATTTCCTGCAAGATCAGCCACCCTATGCCAAGTATTTTCTTTATCTGATTTATGATTTAATTTGATCTTGCTTATGTACGTGCAAGAGCATTATACCAAAATGAGTCTGACACAGTTCTCCAAATCTATCAAAAAAGACGATACAGAACCACTATAATGACATTGTATTAAGGCAGGGCAGCTTCCAGTATGAACATATCTAATTGTCACCTCAAGACCATGCTTAGAAAAAAAAAGATTCACTCTATTCGAGTTTTACACACATCCACAGAAAAACAAGATTGGGTGGTAGGGTGAGGAAGCAGAGGTAACAGATGTGCAATGCTTAGTAAAAAAATACTGCAACATTAATAGTCAAGTCAGGGAGATTAACACAGGGTATTTTCAAATGAACTTGTAATTAAATGATATTTATGTAGAATTCAGTTTGTGCTTTCCCTTCAAGGTGATGCCATTGAAGTCCTCCCTTTGAATTTCACCCAGTCAAGAACCACAAGTTTTTTTCCTTACAAAAAAAAAATAAGTTTAACATATATTTCCTTACCTCATGTTCCAAAAACAGAGCTTTCAGCTGTCCCTTGGACCAATAATCCATAGCATATGCTAGCACCTTCATAGAAACCATATTAATTCTGAGAAAGTTTCCAACAAATACCACCTTGTCGATGTTCTGTAAAATTGAAAAGCAGACCAGCAAAGAATGGATTCAGTCATGTTATTATTCTCACTCAACATATACTTCAATATCTATTAAAAAGTTAAAGTGGGAATTTTGGGCTATATTTCAGTTCTCCAAACTAAAGAGCTCAAGAATTGTAGCTACTGACTGCCAAGAAGAGATCTGGCAACAGAAAAGAGGTTTTGTTCCAAGGACAGGGTGAGAGGCTGGTATCACAGACAGTGACTATTTACTTAAAAGCCCACGACTCTCCTATCACACAGAACATTATGAGTTTTTCTTTTTATTTCTCTGTGTATGATGTGGTTGCACTGAAAGGCATCTATTAATCCTGCTTGTTAAATGAAGCAACCTTCCAGGCATCAGCACGATCATTAAATCCACGTGGAGAACCTCTGGAGGGTATTTGAGAAGAATTACTTTGGAGATGGGATCTTTCACTATCTATAATCCGAATTTTGGCCCAGTTGAGGTTAAAAAAAAAAGCTAACATGATACTTTACTTTACATGTATTGCATTCCTTTTTTTCAAGGGGAACTTGAACTCACTTTTCATATAGAAGCTTAAGGCTTTTTGAACAATCAGTGCTACACCGTTAGTGAGAGAGCCTTTCCTCTGTGCATATCACTGCCTGTTACGAAAAAATTTCATTACTTACACAGTGCCCAAACTCAGTTTTGTCTATGACGCACAAAAAAGGACACACTTGCATTCAGAATCAGTGTGCCATACGATGTACACCACACACTAGAACTGGTGCGGAAAATTCAGTAGGAGGCCAAATCCTGGAGGCATAAGCTTTTACAGGAGTCTTGGGGAAACCCTAAAAACATATTTTCAAGCATCTTCAGTTGAAAAATACCAGAGAAAGAACTGTCTAGACACTGCAATTACTTAAGTGTTACCTCATTTGAGTCGTACAGATCTACGAAATCTTAACACTTGGTTCTGCAGCAATTGCTTTAGTACAGACTATAGTTTTGTAGTGTCCGCTACTGTATACTTCACATACTGCACAGAATATCCTCACCTGAATATTCAGAGCTGAAGAGTGCTGATACCCAGATGCAATAATTCATTTGGTCTCTAACAACTTTAAGTTAGATATCTGGCTGCCCTTCTCAGACTAAACACAGCAGAACAAAAACTTTATTTAAATAACTTAGGTTTATAGTCATCTATCTGCTCAGACTGCAGCCACAGCAGCATGCGCTCACATTACAGGAATATGGGCACATTGGAACTTATATGGCTGGAAATAAGGACTTATCAAATTTCAAAAAGCTGCTATAAACAAGGGCAAAGCACTTTGCATCCTCTGACAGGGCAGTTTTGGCTCTGCAAATCATTTTTGACAAAGGAGAGACAAATATGTAATTAGTTAATTTTCTGTAACAATACCAGCAAGATTGAGTTGAACTTGCATTTAAATTTCATTCTCACCAAAATTTTTTTGCTCAATATACACATGAAGCTACTGTTACTAAAAGTTCAAGCAAGCAATACCTATAATTGAGCATAACAATTACTAAGAACGTTAAACCTAAAAATACTAGACATATCTATCTACGAGGCTAGCAGAATATATATTGATATGCCAATTTCATACCAATTTTTTTCCAGCATTCCTTGGTTAAATTAAAAATTTTGTTAAAAGATGTAAAGTTACCTAGACTTCAGAATAGAACAAACAGCTTTAGCATTTTCCAATAGACAGAAAATGAAGGAAAGCTACTTGTATCTCTTAAGAATAGTCTTGCCAATTTTCTTTTTAAATTGTTCACAGCTGAAATATTCAAAGATGAAAGACAGAAGTCTTAAACCAATGAAGGGTTGGTGGTGAACGGTATACCTAAGCTAATCAAATTACAACATCCAAGAGAAAACACGCACTCTTCCACTTTGTCAGGTTTTGTTACATTGTTCAACTACCCTGCAGTAGAAAGCTACAGTATACAGATCTTTGTGCCAATTTAATTGGAGAGTGGAATCTATATCAATGATGCAATAAAAAAAATCCTGTACACATTATTTTCACAAGAAGCCTTGCTCGGATGCAACTTGCACGCTCTGCCAGTACGAAAAATATAAGCCAGGGAGATTGGTTTCCTTTATGTAGTCTATTGTGCCTAGGACAGACTGTTTCAAATGATGTGTAGCCAAATGGTTCCAGACTACGGAATTTTTCTACCCTATTGCCAACTTTGTGCAAGCAAACTTAGCTTTGAAGTTCTGTAGACGGAATATTTTCATTTATTCCCCAGCTTCATTCTCTTCCTGAACATATGTAAGTCATTTTCAACACAATATTAAAGCTGCAATCATTGAAAAAAAGTTATCAAAACTCATGCTTCAAGGCATAAATTGATTTTGTCACAGAACCTAAAGTGAGCTTCACCATAATCTTAATTAACATACACGATATTCCATAAAAGACTATAACACATTCAACTAGTGTTTAAACATCCAAATCCTTATTGGGCATGTCAATCATCAAGCTTGGTGAGAGTCAGAGCTAAATCTCTCAAAAAATTTAAACAGCTAAACTGTAAGTGGAACAATAGCATTGCTTTTTCCTCAGTGCAAACTATATGGAGATTAGCTGAACCAGCAGAAGTGAGTAGCTTTGCCTCAGTGATGACTTACAACGAAATATCGTGTTTGAAATTCTTTTCAATAATACATAGAGCTACATTTTTCCCCCCCTTCTCAAGCTACAGATTAATTTACTGCTAAAGTGTTGGAGAATTTCTATTCTGACATTGTATGGGAAATGAAGGCTACTTAGCGTATCAAACCACATTCCTCCATGAAATTCTATGGATCATGTCCAGTTTTTAAGTAAGTCTGCCCACAAAAGAAAAATGTTAAGTTTTTTTTCCACAATGACTCAAAAGCATTAGAGTTACATTAGCGGCCCATTTCCTCCTCTGAATGCATCGCATGTGGTTCCCTGCTGCAACTCTCCATGCTTTGATAGCCCTGTACAATGCTGCTTGAACTCCATGCCACAAGGCAACACTGTAAAGAAGCTGAAAGCAAAGAGAATATTGAAAGAGAATCATCATAACTGAAAGTCAAACTGCCAAAAAAATGTATGGAACCACTTTTCACAATGAAGGGAGGTTATCAGTGGCATTTGATAGGGGCACATGCTGAGACTTGTGCTGTTTGACATATTTAAAAAGTGCTCTAGAAGGGGGATTAGCAACATAGCGATAACGTTTATTGATGTACGAAGTTATTCAGGAGAGTCAAAATTAAAAATGAACAGCAAAGCAATGCCGAAGAGTCCTATAACACTGAGTGACTAAGTAATAAAATGGCAGGTGAAATCCAGATAAAAGCGACAGGAAGAGGGCAGAGAGACACTATCCGTATTCAGAGACGGTGATGATTAGAGCCTAAATTAGCTATTACCACTCAGGAAGGAGTGTGGAGGGACTGTAGATGGTTTCTCAAAAATGAGCTCCATTCTCAGTGGCAAAGACAAAAATCAAACGTTAAAACCTGTTAGTAAAGGAACTGATAACACAGAATTCATCAATATGTCAATGAATAAATTCATAGCACCAGCACTTTCTGAATGCAGCATAAAGACCTGATTATTCTGTCTTAAAATCAGAACTAGAAAAAGATTAAAGGGACAAAATGAAAGAGCATAGAGACACAATGTCTTCCATAGGAGGGGGAGTACCAGTACAAGTACCAGGTCATTTTGTCTCGAAAGAAGAAAGAGGGAGATGTGACAAAAGGTTTAACAAAAACACACCCACAAAAAAGGGCCAGTGAGAAATGATTTACTATTTATCATAAAGCAAAATACTGGATGGCACCCAATAAGGACATCAGGTATCTTTTTTTGGGGGGGTGGGGGGAGGAGGGGGGAGTAGAAACACTTTTTCCTCTTGGAACAAGATCTGTTAATAGGTAAGAGGTGATTAAGAGTATTGATTTGGATTACAAAGGCATTAATATCCATGTATTACAGCTTGAAAGCAATTGTACAGCTGGAGGTATCAACTGTGCAGGGAGAGCTTTAGAGTAAAGCTTTCCTCCCTCTTCCCTACCTTTGAAGTGTGTATCTTACCCTTTGTAGCAAAGTATACATAACACAAATCACTAGAGTTGAGACCCAGCATTAAATATATGCATCTTTACCAAGGCCAGCCATTAACTACCATATCAGCAATTAGCATTTTTAAAATTCTGATAATCTATATTGTGTTGTTTCTAAAGGTTAAGCTCATAGTAAATATGCTATCTTACCTCATTCAACGCACACATGCGAGCAATAGAACCTATGTTGTTGGTGATGGTGACCAAAGTAGCTCTGGCCAAGTCCTCTTTACTGATGGAATCTCTCTTTTCTTTACTCATCATATGGCCAAAACTGTGTGAGGAAGATCATTCCTTTTAATATGAAGTATTTAGGAATGTTAGATGCCCTTAGAAATTTTGTTATTTCAGTAAGAAGTTTTGCTTGGATTTGATATTCATTGACTTGAGGCAAAAAGAGGAACACGTGAGAAGGGATCTCATTGAAAAGACAAAACAATGAGCAAAGACACCTATTCTAAAGTAACTGTTATTTAAGTGGAAGCAAACTATATTAAGCATTGCTTATAAATGTTAAAAAAAAAAAGTAAAAAGTAGGTGAGAGTTCCTAAGCACAAGCCACATGATACACTAGGGTGACATTTCCACATGGACATAGTACACAATCCAAGGATTACGCACTTAGTTCAGCATGCACAGTAAATTTCCCCGGAACTCCTTAAAAAAAACTGAATTAACAAGTACCTTGAAGCTACAGCAGATCCTTGAAGGCCAAATCGCTCATAATCTCCTCCATAAATATCTTTCACCAGCTTATCCACGTTGGTGCTGTCTCCTTTTGCAGCCATTTCTAACGCTTCTTCAAATGTCTCACAGCCAGTCAGCAAACAGCACAGGCCCAGGAATGTTCCACCTCCAAGACTAGAAAAGCACAACTATTTGAGACCAGCACCTTGAAGCAGCTGCTTTCATAGCTGTTCAGATCCCTGTTATCAACAAGTTCTACACAGCTCCCAATTAAGACCTTGCAACTCCTACCCTGGGGAAGTGAAGATACACACCCTATATTAAGTTTCTGTTCAACAATGGTGTGGCTCTAAGTGAAATGTTCTTAAGTCTCTAGTATTTAAAAGAAAGAAATCATGCCAAATAAAAGGCTGGCTAAGAAAACAGTCCAATCCCACTCAGCAGTCACCAGCTTGCTATTCATAGCACTCTAGAAAGTTTTCTGTGGGTAGGAATACGTAGCCAGCAGATGGCTTGAGCCAGAGATAAAAGAACAACCAGCAACTATAACTAAGTTATCTGTGCAGAGGTAAGCAGTTAAGACAGATCACGTGCCCCTAGCCAACAGTGGGGAAGCAGTTTGGTTGGTTCCTTCTAATAGGAAGACCAGCATCAGCCCTAAATGTCACAGCCCTCTAGAGAGTCCTGAACGAGGAGCAGTGAGTTTACTTGAGAACCTTCAACAAGCTCAAGCACAAAGTAGTACAATATTTACTGATTATATAAGTTTAGCAGTGAGCATTCAACTATGCATAATAAGTTGCTAACTCATCTCATTAGAATTCTACTTTAGACTGTTTAGTCTCAACAGATATAAACTTTAACTTAATAAAAAGTTACACAGGTTCAGTGCTTCTGAAAAGCACCAGTGCAACAGGCTTGAAAACCACTGTCTACAGTCAACTGGGCTGAGAATAATGGTTGTGCCGAACCTTCCTATCACCTCTACATCCTTCCTCACTCTTATCACCTTTGAGAAAAGTTAGCTTATTTGCACTGATTGCAGTCACACTGATTGCAGGCACTGTGAGAACAAGAGGACCAACAAATCTCACAGGAGATACTTCATTTGCACTTCACAAAAAACAGAGGGCTACATAGAAACACCATTCAGTCAGTGCTGTTAGATTACAAGGAGTTTTTTAGAATGTTTCTAGTAGCAATAATATATAATCACTATCTAAATAGTAGGAAGCTCTGCACATCAGCCACAGACAACACTGCTTTTATCATCTACAATGAGTCAACAACTCACTGCAGTTACGATTCTTTTTGTAACGAAAAGGATCAGAAGCATATCTGTAGATATCAAAAGGGCTATGCTTGGGAAAAAAAAAAAAAAAATCACCAGAACTGCAGGAAAACCAAGGCCTCTCAGCTTCAACTTACGTTCATTTGTGTTGCATACAGAGGAATATTTTGTGTCTACAGGTATGGCAAAGATATATTCTAGTTAAGGCAACAGAAGACATATGCAGTCACGTGCAAGATACAGGTGAAATTTTACTAGTATACACCAGGGACTGAAGAAAAAAATGCAATTTTGGAAGGGACCAGCAAATCCAAAGAGCTGCTTTGGTTGCTATTTTCAAAGGGGAGGGTTATTTTGTTTTCCAATTGTTCTTTTTTCAAAGTAAAAGTCTAAGCCTTCTTTTCCAAGGTTTTGAAAATGAACCAATTCAAGTTTGCATGTACGAGCGGCAAGTGGGATAGGTTTATCAGTACTTTTACTACTAGCCTGGAAAGATCCATCTCCAACTACAGTAGTTCCCTAGGGCCACAGCAGCCACATCTACACCAGTAAGTTTAAACAAGCCTCAGACTGCTTTTAGGCCTCAAGGACAAATGGCATGGGGTGCTTTGCATCCACACTACTGAATTCCCAACTTCCAAAATAGAGTGGTCACATCTAAATCTCTTGCTGAGTGTAGGCCAGAGACCATTCCAACTCAGCTGTACCTTACAAAATTGTTTCAGAAAGTACTAGCCGACCCAGGCTGAAACTATGCTAGGGACAAAGTAAGAATACAGACAATCAAATTCTCGTTTTTACACGCTGGCACTGCTTAATTTACCACCATGGTCCAATGACTAGGGCAATCAGTAAAGGGAGAGAGAGATTTGGTAAGATTCCTTTGCCAAAATCCAGTAGTAGCAGGGAGTGCTAACAAAGATCTCCTATATCCTGGATACGTACCCTAATCGTCAAGGAAAAGGTTTCTATTTAGCCCAAACATTTTTATTTCACAGCTCTGGCTGTTCAGGGGGATCAAAGGTGGTAGTGGTGGGGGGGGATGCGTTTACTGGAACAGCTCTATTCTGGAGCTCACAGGAAGAGATAGCAAGTAGGCAAGAACACCAAGAGGAGAAAAAAGCAGCTCTAAGTAGAATGGATCAATAATTTTCCTGACACACACCTCTCTGGTCAGAAGGGATCCTGAGCTATTCCCAGCCTTGCTACTGGGGAGCTTTTATTAAAAATAGGAAGATGAGCACAATTTGGGGCTGCACCTACTAGTCACACTGTCTACAATCTATTAAAATATTAAGAAAAAAAACATAGTATTAAGTTTACCTGGACCCTGTGACTCTCTTATAGTTATCCTTAGAATATACTGCTAGGATGCTGACCCCTGAGCCTATGTTAACCAGCAACATAGGATATGGATTATCAAGGCAGTAAGGCTTTTTCTGGCACTGTTCAGGATCCGTGGGATTTTCAAAATAATAGCACTCTGGCTGGCCGTTGAAACCAACGGAATCAACATAAAGCAGGCCCTGGATCAAACAGTCCAATTCATCCAGTTTATGGAGTTGTAAATCAGCAATCTGGAAGAAAATGACAAGAAGTTAAAAAATGAACATCTCTTGGTACAACATAACACTAAGAAGGACAAAAGGCTCCACTGAAGCACTTTGATTATTTTAATAGGAACACATTATGCAATTTAAAGAGTACAAAGATCTATGTAAGCATGAGGTCTCAAATAAAAGGAGTTTGCCATCTACTTGGCAACAGGTAACTCCCAGAAAAGGGACATGCTATGCGGTACTGGTCTTTGGTTTCCCTGCCTTTAAGATACTCCATGTTCTGCAAGCAGTCCAGAAAACTTCCCCCTACCCTCCAACAGTCTGAAGCAATAACTGTCGCTCCCCTCATCCCTATCCTAAGAGGAGCTGTGCTCTGCAGTTGTTAAGTTTCTGGCACATGCTTGCAGAGCAGCATTTCTCAGTATGCAACAGGCCTTAACCCCTAATCCAACTACTTTCCCCAGCAATTTAATGAAATATTTAATAGCAGCAGCGAGATCAAGAAACTTCAGCTAAACAATAAAATAGTTCAAGCTTTACAAAATGCACATGCTTATGTTAATATGCATTAAATTTGCAGTGGAACATTCCTGAAAGACCACATTTGTCTAGAATATTCACAAGCAAACAGAGAGCTACTCCTTAAAATTATGAGTACTTTAAAATGCCTCATGAAAAAATTCACTATTCCCAATGGTTGGTGAAAAACAACGGAAATCTCCAAGCAAAAATATCCTGAGGCCCATGCCCTGGCAAACTGTTTGTAAAGATATCATCGTAACAGAGGGCAGGAAAACAATTGTAAGCGCTTTAGAAGGATGTTCTCCTTCAGATCTCACAGGTCGCCCAAGACTGTACTTAGGCAGACATGTCTACCTGTCATAGCTTTCTATTTACTAGAATTAGAAATCACATCTCTTTCTAGAAATATGATATGATGACAGCCTGTAGGAAGTCTCCTTTCCAGATGACATTGGGTTTAGACCTGTGTTAGGGAAATGGGGGGTGTGGAGGAGGGGGAAGGTAGGCAGGGGGAAGAACAAGAAAAGTCACCCATCCCAATCCTGAGGTCATCTGCGTCCTCCCACCTGGGCACTAATCTCTTATCTAGTACACTTTCTACCCAAAAAAGCAACAGGATGTTAGGAACAGGAAGGAACTATATAGCACAGAGATGGTTCTCAAACATTTTCATATTGCAAGATATTTTTGTAACTACCTCCTATTTTTAATTCTGGAAGCTACATTAAGTTACTATAAAGAGAAAAGATATTTTAGCAGAACAGACATAGGCAATAGGTTACATTCTTCTGAGCTATTTAAATCTTTTCCCTTCCCCCTCATATCGAGCAGACTCAAAACAGCAATACATACCCAGTAATTCATAGGGCTTCTGCTTATCAACACATACAAGCAAAGATCATTGCTTCTTGTTCCAGTATTTTACTACTGGAACTGCTGCAATCCCTAGATTGATTTTTTTCTTGGTTACACCATGGATTCCAGCAGCTTCCTGCTATTAGATGGGCAGAATAAACTGCAACCAAGATACATACAATACAATATTGTGCACTCAGAGGATCTAAGTATCTTTGAGTTTAAAAAAAAAAAAAAAAAGCATTGCATATAGCTTGCCAAAATACAAGTAAAGGTTCTACACTAACCAAGATCTTTTCTAGGTTATGCATAGTAAAGTTTCATTTTCATCATTTTACTGCGTGACCTAGATGCAGCGTGACAAAATGTGATTCAGCACAGATACATGATGCACACAGAGCAATGCCACATTTATTTTTATGCATATCATTACTGAATGAAAGACACTAAATACTTTTTCTTCCAGCACATGTTATTTCCAAGTCTTACTGTTCATTGTTCACTCACTGCTGCACAAATATGCTACAAAACAGAAACTTGCTATCTGGGAATGAAGAATCATTAGTAGATCTGTGGTCCTTACTACCAAAACCTCTGTTCCTCAGGTAAGCCAAATAGAGAGGCACAAGCTGCTTTTCTCTTTACTGTTACACTTTAACAAACAGGTTAGCATGAGTGACAAAGCTTGAAAAGAAAAAGCAATCAATCCAAATCTAAGAATAAAACACTATCAATGCAGAAACACAGACAAAATCCTTCTTTCTACAAACTCTCAAGTCAGCTGGGCAATTTTACAAGGGAAGAACAGCAGAAATTAAACAGAGGTTTCTTTCAATCACCCACCAGAGAAGCTTTATTAGGTCTCACTTCTCATGTATAAAGGACATACTAGAATTTACTCATACTAGAATTTACTTTAATAAAATTTTATCTCCAGTAAGTAGAAAAGCCCTATTATTGCTTTCTTTCATATACAATATTCATAGCAGACTGTAAAGCTGTTTTACATTCTGTTTTTCATTTCTGGAGGGAATAAGATCAACATCAGTATTCCACACTGATCCACCTTTTATTCAGAGAACCCTAAATTCTTTAGCCATTAGATCTCCAAGGCTCAAAATAGCCCAACGAGCCACCACTGTTCTTGTTTCTAAACACAAACTAGGGCACTGTTGCAGGGATCGTAGTTACCCAGCCTCGTAGGAGAAGCCGTTATAGAGTTGGGGTCAGAATTGCCAGTCCCTTTCACTGCATATAGAACTGTCTTTTCTCTATTCATTCTCTGCTCACAATGACTCAAGCGGCTCAGGTGCATCACAGAATAGATGCGTCTGTAAACACCATAACTAATGTATGGGTATGCTTATTTCTTTTGTGGTGACATCACCTGACCTCACCACATTCTGCTCCTCCTCATCTTTCAGCCATTCAAACCAGTCATCCTTGCAGAGACTGACATTTATGCGCACAAACATAAAACAAAGATGGAAACTGTATGTAGAAACACATTTCAATATGACATTTTTCCTGCAACTGGTATTACAAAATGCATTTGCTGATGCCTTCCAACTATTAACAGCCCCTATGAGTACAGACAGCATAGCGCTCAGCACCTCCTACTCTATGCTCCTGCAACTATGTTGCCTCTCAGGTCAGGAAGTTGTCCTACGAGAGAAAAACAGCAGAACAGAGTAGTATGCAGGACTCTGGAGGGAAAACCAGTGATGGTTACAGGGAAATCATATATACATTTTTTTAAAGAAATGATTTTTGTGTGTTATGGGCAAAGCATAAAAATTCTTCTTTGTTCTAGACTGCTTTCGAATACTAGAGGAGGTGAAGGAACAGAACACAATCTCAAGGAATTCTTCAGGACCATCAAAAGCAGGGACTCAGGATTTTAACCAGGTGTACAACTGGGTACTACACAGCAGAGTGGTAGCAAATGCTGCCACATGACAGTTCACACTTCAGCGACTAACTTCTGAAACCAAGTCGGCTCCTAGGATATGGAAAAAGGTCCACTGTTATGCTGTAAAGATGCTGTTTTAAGGAGAATGAAAGCCTGTCTCTTGCTGTAAACTTGCAAGGAGTAGTAGAAAATTGCATTTTCTGTTCAAGGTATTTTGTATATGCATAATGCCAAGCATAAGTTTTATACTGTATGGTATTTGAATACAGCTAAAAGTAACTCATACCTAGCAAGATCACCACCGATGCGACCACGGCAGGGCAGCTGACAGACCCTTGATGCCAAGAATTAACCTGGCACCAACTTGCTACTTCCTTCAAGCGTGGGAAAACAGAAGTCAGAGACCTGGGTCATATTTGTTTGTTTTTATGGCTGAGTAAATACTTCCAACTCCAGCAAGGAAAACATGAGACAGTCCAGTCCTCCTCAGGTGAGCTGTGAGGGCAGCCATGACATCTGTCAGGGGTGGGGAGCAGGAGAGCCTAGTGGATCAACATGGGTATGTATGCAGCTCTCCAATGAAACTTCAGCTCATGAGAGATTTCATTAAATTTGAATTTTTAAATTGAGTTCTGGAAAAACCAGAAATTTTAGAACCTAGACACAGTTAAATGTTACAGGTGAACTTTCAGAGAAAAATAAAAAAAAACATTTCTGCAAGAAACTGTTATGGATGTAACATTTTTCAAGTTTGTAACTATCAGTTAGAATAGCCTTGCTTATTCTGTCACTCTGGCTTTTATATCCCTTCTGGGCTTTGCTCCAGTTTTTCCTTCTTATAATAATTCATGGTCTATCTTTTTCTCCCATCTCTCTCCCAGTACCTCCCCTCTACTTTCAGAAATATGTACTTTGCTTTCTTTATATTTTGACCATCTTCACCTCACCAAAAAACAAAACAAAACCCACCTCTCTAAATATGCTTCTTTTCTAGTTTAGATGAGGTATTCTCCCTCATCCCACACCCAGGCTGGGAAATTTCCACTCCTATTCAAGACAGACAAAGCCTAATACAGCTAAGGAGTCAACCTAACACATTCACTGAGGCAGAAAAGAAGGTAGACTACACCAGTTTTAGGGTAAAAGCACTAGTTTGGGATCCTCTTCAGAGGATAAGAGACATATACTACAAGTAAGCAAGCAAATAAGCCCATCTTCTTGGCCACTTAATTGGAAGGATCTCCTCCCTCTCCTGACAGAGGGGAGCAGCACGTGCTCTCTGTCTCCATTCCCCTCTGACAAGTCTCCCTAGCTGCGGGCAGTGGCAGAAGGTATCTCGGCTACTTCAGCCATTCCCTGGATTCCACTTTTAACTCCAATCCAGTCTCCACACTACAGTACAGCATAGCAGCTTTCGAGCCTCCTTGAGCAAGCGAGAGTCAACAAGAATCTTTAAAGTCTTACATTACCCTAGAGTTAGATACAGCTCACTGTTAACTGACAACACAGGAGAGTTTCCCTGAAGGTAAATACAGTCTACAAGTCATCCACAGGCTTTCAGCTTGTATCAGAATGGCTAGCTTTAGAAAATATTCTCCAGTAGTCAAGGTTATTCTTAAAGCATTTTCCTATAGGTTACGGGGAAGGTCAAGACCTAAGTTTAAGTCTGTGTCGGTAACAGATTTTTTTTTTTTTTCATTTTAAATACACACAGGCATATACATACACACACACACACACGAATGCTCTTTATTAAGTGTTTTTTGGCTCAGGCCTTGCTTCAACTGAAGCCAGCAGCAACATTCCTATCAAGACATGTCAGGATCTGTAGTAACCTATTCAGGACAGTAGCACAAAGATCCCAGTTTCAATCCATTGCAGTTGATAGAAATTTTGCAATATAGCTGATTTTAAATAAAGGTCTGGAGAGCCAGACACACATCCTTTCTTCCTTCTTCCTCCATGCACTCTTTACATTGACTTGCCTTATAAAACTAAGTGACAGCCTAATAACAGCATGCTTTTGTGAAAGTAACATGCGTGCTACCATGGAAGAGGCAAAGAGCATAAGAGACACATACTACAAGTAAGCAAGCAAATAAGCCCATGTACTCTTCAGTTCTACAAAAGTGATGTTACTTATACATTTACAGAAGATGTGAAGTGACAGCAGTTGGAGGAAGGAGGGAGGATGATCAGAATTAGGTGACAGATTCATCCATGCCTCACCAGCACTGCTACCTGAAAACAAAGAAAGTCAGCCATAAACACCAGTCATTCAAAAAGGGGGGGGGGGGGGGGGGGAAAAAACCAAAAACCCTAAGCTGGAAACAGTCCTAGTGGATCACTTACTGATGTTCTTTAATGAGCATTAAGTATAACCATATGTCTGGTAAAATTATTTCTGTGGTCTAGCTTAATGAATACAGTCAGTTTTCCTGCTTTTAAAGGAAACACTCAGATCTTAAGAGTGAATCAAATAATTTGCCAGACTACTGATTATTATTGCCTGCAGCCACCAAACAGTCCCTAGAGACTTCTCCTTGTCTCCTCCTATCCATCACTGTGATTATCAGAAGAGGAAGGTCAGGTAGTCAGACCTCGTTGACTTTGTAGATTTAGTTGGTTTTCTATGGCACAGAGCAAGGACTTCAGGTAAACGGAAGATACTGCCCACTAACTTTCACAAAAGCAATGGAGATGTCTGTATCAAACCTATTTAGCTTATTTAGATATTCAGAACCAGATACTGTAATAGGCAAGCAACAACAGAGTATTCACTTGTTTATTTTAACAAGAACAGCTGCAATCTTAGAAGAAAAGTTACTTTGGAATTTGAATGTTACTTTGCCATATGTTGAACCTTTTGTTTTAAGCCCATGCAATCCTGAGAGACTCACAAACATTTAGAAAGACTAAGAACTACAAAAATGAAGCACGTGTGTGGGGAAATAAAGGCTTTATAACAAAAGCAGGTTACATATATCATAGTTCCATATAAGCTTGCTAGCATTTAACCAGACTTTTTTGTGGTAATTAACACTCAAACATACTTCAGTTTTTCCATATTGCTTCCAAGTAACAGAAACTAACATTTAAGCCTCTGCCATATAAGGCATGATATAATATGGAATACTCCAATAGCAGGATATTAGACCTGGCACTAGTTCACTATTTCTCCAGGTACATTAGTGTAATCAAGAATTTGAAACAGACATTTTAACGCTTTGAAAGAGTAATTCTGCAACTGTTCTCCAATGCCAATTTACAGTCAGCAGAGCACATCAAGATAGTCAGCTACTATTACAATGGCTAATGAAGTGTAGCAACTCAAATGCCAGCACCTAGCACACTTAGCACTCCTAAAGATATTAAACAAGCAAGCCTTCATATAACAGATTATTTCTTTTGCTTCTATAATACTGTATGGCTATTACAGTTTGAGCCAGGCAAAGTTTGCTTTAAAAGAAGGTGTAGAATTGGATAGCTGTAAGAAGAGGTGTCCAAAGCACTCTCCTTAGGCATGACTACACTCCACTGATTGCACTACGCTGCAAAATACCCCAGCCAGTCTCTATAGTCAAAAAAAGAAGTGTTGCAGCGCACAGAATGTTAACTGACATTACAGAGCCTCAGGATTTCATACCCAAGTCCACCAGTAATTTACCATGCGTCCTCATATTTTCGTACAGTAATAGCAGAATAGTCCCAGCTATGGCTAAGGCTCTCGTGCTACACTGATTGTACTGCAGTGGCAAAGCACTGCTATATATGTGCCAATGCAAGTCATCAAGAAAAAAAAAAAATACAGATGCACCTCACAAGACTTTTTAGATTCACCACTTAAGCTAATGTGAGATTGCAGAACCTGGCTCAGTCTGATATGGGCAGAAATTAATCTTGAAAAATCCCTGCAAGAATGACTGGGAATCCTAGACAATCAAAAGCTAAAAAAGCCCAACATTTGACATGAGAGAGATTGGACCTTCATTGTAAACTGCATATTTTCCCCAAATAAGGCCAAAGGTAGGAAGAAAGATGCCTAGGTGTGATAACCACCAGGTAACTTTCAGTTAATTTCAACAGCTGCAGGAGCAAGGGACACTCCACTCTTCCTTATTAAGTAAGCTACTCTACCTGCCATTACATGATGCAAAATACAGATGAATTTAGGAAGACTGACCATAGCAGAGGGATAGCTAACATCTTCAGAAAGTCTCAAAATGACCGCCCATTGTCACGAGAGAGCGTGACCTGAATCACACTGGGACATATGCAAGGCTGCTCCAAACCAAACTAAGGCCCCACTGACTTGTGACAGAACTTACCTCAGAGTGGAGTCTGATACCTCTCATCTAACCTGAAACAAATGAAAATTGTCCCTTTTGTGGACACAATCATCAGCAGAGTCTAAGTTAAGCAACTTGTTCTTCAGGCTGGTCCCAAAAAAGAAAATCTAGTGCTAATAGCGGTTTTCAGCAATTCAGGAACTTGATAGTCCCTCATTAGATTAGCTGTTTTTATGCCCAACATTTACTGAAAATGGTTTAACAGTACAACAGCTGGAATTTGTGCTCACCTTCACAGCATTCTCCTCCCCCCTGAGGAATCAGAAGATCTTGATCCTCTGGTAGGCAGAGGATATTAACAAAGAAAAAACCTCTTGTAAGGCAGGAGTGGATGCTATTCGCTAAAAATGAACACTTCTGGATTCTTAAGAGTCAATTCTGTCTGGAAGGAAGCTGTCAAAAGCAGATGGGCAGCTTCTTCCCTGTGCAATTTCAAGACCCTTGTGTTGCCTATGCAGGTGACCCTAATTACCAAAGACTGGATTCTATTTAGTTGATGCTTGGCAAGCTGTATGGGATGAAGTTCACATATCTCAGCATCAAGCATTAAAGAGGAGAATCGGGATCTGTCACAACTTTTTTCCTTTGCCTTCTCAGGACACAGTAAAGTCACTGTCTGCAGAATCAGCTACACAGACCCCAGCCTGCCAGTCTTCTCTACTCCTGCAGTAAATAGATGGGCCAGCGATGTTCCAATGCAGTATGTCACAGCTGAAAAACGAACAGAATTGGAAAGGCCTAGCCTCCTATTTTTCCCCAGCATCACTACTGAAAGCACACTTCCCTCTGGTGCGAAGAGCCTTCATCAGTACACAGGAAAGTCACATATGCCAGGTAGAGCGAAGCTATTTTTTGCCAGGATCAGGAGAGTTTACTTTCAGAAATTTTACTTCTAGGCTTTGCAGGATTTGCATTTTATAGACATTTCTGCAGCACAGGTCCCTCACCTAGACAGCACAGAAACTAATATGAGGATTTATAACATGGACTACAGATCTCACAGGTGGGACAAGGCTGGAACATTACTATTCTCTGCCATGCAACGTGCCAGCTGGAAGAAAACAAACCAAGGATAGATTAAGAGCAGAGATCTTAGACCACAATAATTAAGAGAAATAGTAGGTTAAAAGGGAAAGAAGCAAGAAAGGAGACTACACAATCAAACTCGTCTGTAAATATCATACTAGGTGTCAGTGAGCAGCTGATAGGATCTGAGATGGCACCGGAATGGACAAGGAAGGCACACATCAAGCATTGTGGTCAACAACAGTTAGTAAATCAGGGTTGTAACTCTCCAGCCTGAAGCAGTTACAAACAAGCAACTGCTGTAACCTACCACCCTCAGTAGCCACTCCTCACAGTCAGGGCAGAAGCTAGGGACACAGAATCAGATCTGCCTCCTAAGGACACTGATCACATTAATCGTGGAGAGAATGCTCTGGTGCAGGCAGGCTAGCAATTCTTTCATAGAAAAGAAATGGAGATATGCTCCAGCAGAGAGTCACACACAACAGGCAACTGCCTCCCTAACGACTATTTCTCTGCAAGGCAATTTGCACAACAGCTGTCTATGCCTCTCGTCAGAACTGGTTTCTGCAGTGCACTCTAGCTTCACTCAGAAGCTGAGACTATCACAGAAGTTAATACAGCAAGCAGCATCTCAATACCTTTTTTGAGCTCAGTGCTGGGGACCTTTCCTCATGTGACACACTGCCAGAATCAAAAGGTGACTATGTTACCATGCTTCCACACACTTTCTCCCTCCACTCCAAGTTTGGTCTTCCAGAACCTAGACTTAAGCTTTCAACCAGACTAATACAGGCAAGGGAAGGAGACTCTAGTTTCCAGCCTGTATGGTTTCATTTCTGGATTTGCAATACTTATCCAGTATACAACATGAGTACCTGTAGTCTCAGGCTCCAAGCTTCTATAACCATGCTCTCAGTCGATAGTGAACCATATGTGATCACAGACGCACCCTAAGAAACCGTTCACTGAAGACATGCTTCACAGCAATATTGCACTAGAATACTTGATGAGCATCCGCATCCCTCCTTACCCTCTTCATGTTCTCAGCAATTCCACCAATTAACAAATTGGAATAGATTCTGTTGGTCTTAGCCAGTTAGAACTGATAAAAAGTGTTATTTTCTCTGCAAATTTTAGTCAATAGAAGGACTCTCAAATTCCCCTCCCCTCCCCAGAAGTACTTCCCACTGAGGCCATATGAACTGTTCACATACCGTTCTAAAGTCCTCCTCAAATTTGTAAGCTCCACCTCCCGTGGCACAGAGAGTAGTATGCAAACTGGAGAAGTTCTTTTCACTGCCCATCTGTATGAATCTGTGCATGGCACAGCTAGGGAAGCGGATGAAATGCAGGTTTCCTTTGCGTCCACACATAGTCAAATTTTTCAGTTCAAGATGGACATCACGAATGCCAGTTTTACCATAAGCTGTATTGGAGGTCAAGTATTTCCTAATGCTTTTCAGGTTTTCCACCTCTTCCTGTTCCTCTTCTGCAGTAATGTCTTTAGGTTCAAAGTAGACCAGTTTAACCAATGTTCCTCCAATATCCATTCCAAACCATGGGAACGCTAAGGACAAGAGGAAACAAAGAGAGAGGAAGCCACTATGAATATACAGGTTAGCCATATCACACAAAATATTTGCTGAACGACAATTCAGTTGGTGCAAGTTACAATATTAGAATCTACTCCCAAAGGCTGTTGGTCACTTACACATCCATTTCACACACACATTAGGTATCTCTCTAGATTAGACTTTATAATCAAGCCTCAGTTACCAAAAACAGCAAAGAAAATCTCAAAATACCCTTCTTCTCTACAGAAGCATATTCTAACAAAATGAAAAATTTCCAGGAAAACTTTTTAAGTCAGCACCTCTTGAGAGAGCATATTTACTGCATTTCACCCAGTCTGACTCCTATCACCAATTCTTAAACTAGATTAAGGGGGGGGGGGGGGGGGGGGGAAATCACCACATACACCCAACCAAAACAACCAAACCACAAAAATAATTCAAGTCACATTTCCACTGCGTAACATCTATAATTCCCTTTCCATTTCCTCTATCTTTGATCAGTTCTGCTCTTAATTAAAAAAAAAAACTCTCCAAAAATAGTACACTCTCATATCTTCAGCATCAATCAGAATTTCTAGCATTACAACGCTCTTTCTGAACAGCAGCAATAAATAACACTCCTATTACAGTGGGAGTCTCCCCAACCCACCAGAACTAGGATCTGTTAGAACTGTAACACTTGCAGATATGAGCAGAAAGAGAATGAGCTATACGAGTTCAATGTTTAAAAGCCCCTGACAATCCCTCTTTCTGAGCACAGATCCCCTATGCTGGGGCAAGCAGTACGCTATCATATAATTATGCTAAAAACGCCACTGTCTGCCATAGCCAGCCCAGGCATACCAAAGCCTTTGTTCTGTTAACAGCAAGAGAAGTTGACTACTGAAAACAGACCACTGAGACAGAGGATACTAACTGATGCAGGTTAGTTTGCCTACTCTAAGTGCTCTGCTTAAATACACACACATAAACATTTTAAATACTAAACCAGGTAACGTCTTCATGGAGTAATGAAAATTGAGAACACAAATATACACAGGTAATACAGAAGACAACTAGTAACATTTCTTAGGGAAAATTTTAATTACAACTACTTGACTATGTGTTTACATAAGATAATTCCTTAAACAGCAGTCATGCAATCATTTGTGAAGGGCAGATGGACAAATAATATAACCACAACTCTATTTGTAAGTCAAAACGACCTCCCTCCTTTCAGGAAGAATCAGGTAGACCTGCTAGAAACATGAGTCTGAACTGAGGCATCTCAGCTTCTTAGTGTTGACACAAACTGCATGTCAGGGACACCATAGGCATTACTGATTTTTCTACTCATGAACCAAGTTGTAAGCAACACGGGGCAAAGATTTCAATAAGCGTAACAGGTACGGCCCACACCGCTCTTCCTCAGGTAGTCGCAGACCAGTATCATGTTCCTCAGCTTCAGGCTAAGAGGAGCTTAGAGTCTTTTTCTTCTCACCACAGAGGACTCGGCCTGTGCCTCATTCTTATCTAGCTGAATGACCTGAAAGCCTAAATTTCACAAATATTAATACAAAACAATTAATCGGCAAGTGTCAAATATTTGACACTTACTTTGTCCTACTGCTGTATGGGAAATAATTAGTTCATCTGTTTCTCCCTCCTTTCCCTAACCATAGGGATGGCATAATACAATAAGCTCCCATGAAGTAGCTTGCCAATGGTTCAGTTTTCTAAGAGCTGCTACTGTTACCTGTTGTAAGGGCTGCTTAATTTCATTTTCCATCCCTTTAAAGCTGGAAGACACAAAGATATCAAAACAACAGGCTTCAATGAAGCCTAATTTGAGGTTTCAGAAGATAAGCCTCTACAGATACTAAAATGGGACAAATTTGAAACAAGTGTTTTAAAAAAAAAAGGCTTTATTTTAAAGAGGAAAAACTACTTTACCTTTCACTAACCTGTAATTTAGTCACTTTAGGAAGTGTAGGGTAAGTATTTAAACAGAAGTGGTCCATACTGTACAACACTACAACGCAGTGGAGCTCACGATGTCTATCCCATTTGTGATTTACACAAATCTTTAAGCTACCGGGAACTTTAATTATTTGTCACACAGGGACAGTAAGTCTCCACTTCAAGATGTATCCTAACCATGCAAGCAGAAAGTTCAGCATTAAAAGTAGAATGGTTAAACCGTACCACACAAAACCAGCTTATAGCTAAGTGTAAGCCAGCTGCCAATCTTGTTCATTAAGGGCATAAATTCTGCTATGTTTTACCCACATTGTCAGTTGCTTTAAAATTATAATGAAGATTAAATCTTCAAGACAGAGGAGAAGCATTCCACTCTCTTATCAAATATAAGCCCAACAGCAGAATTACAAGTAATAACAGCTGAAGACACTGCCAGGACATTTAGTCTTGTATCTTAAATTCTGATGCGTAATAATTAAATCACTAACACAGAAGAAGTACTGTAGAAAACGCCTATCAAGTTATTTCAGGTCTACATAGTCCTTGGGATAGATGTATGTAATTTCAGATTTAAAAAGCAAGTGGAAATACTAAGACTGTTTTTCAGTTTATTCTCCCTGTGAATCTCTCTTCATTTTGTGGGCCAAACTGCCAGCTGCACAAGGAAAAGAACTTTGGTCCTAGAACAGAAACAGTTTTCTCACAACGCAAATAAAGAGCACAAGATCACTCCACAACCACTAACACTTCAGTCGTGCAAAACAGCTTTGTTTTCTTCACAGCTGCTAACACTAGTTATCTGTTGGAATTCACTTGCAGTGAAGGAGACAAATACTTCAACGGGTTGACCATCTAGGACAAAGACACCAAGCGCCAAACTCCTCCCAGACGTCCCAATCAAATCCATAAAAGCTCTGTGATACTAGTTACACTGTAAAAAACTTTTGTAATCCAATAATTACTTTAACAATTTGTTGTAACTTCTGTTAGTATCAACATAAACATATGCTGAAATAGAACACAGAACTGAGGCACCACCAATTCTTACCAATTCTTTATAGCATCTTTAGACGCCCCAGCCTAATCTCTACCTACACACTTGAACTTTCTAGAGTCTACTGAACGCAGGGCTAATAGGAACACGCATGTAGACTGCAAGGTGGTCCTGGGTCTTCCTGTCTCCCCGACTACAGAAAGTAATCTCAGTGGCATCTGAAAGGTCTTATCAGGGCCATCGCTGCTGTAACAGGAGAGTATGAAGAAAGATATTTCTGTAGATACAGCCTCTGCAGATCTGAGGGGAGAAGGAAAGACTTTAAGCTAGCAACCCAGCATTTCACTGACAACATAAATCCAAGTTCAGTTTCTTGTGTTATTAAACTCTAGAAGAGAGGGTGGGGAGGAAAAGCTGGCAAATCCACATCTTTGCCACCAGTTATTCCTACAGTATTCAGGAAACTGATCTATTATGAAAAATAAAGACACTGGATATGTTGCAGAAATGCCTTCACAGTGTTAGAAGCACAATACTCCTTAGTTAAAACCGTTTGATGAGGCTGTTATGAGTTGATTTCTCTTTTTGCAAAGTCACTTAGCAAAATACCTATTGGCTCAATCAAATCTATTACCACAGGGAAAATAAGATTACTCTACAGTATGGTTGCACTACAGTAAGTGTTTAAAAAAATTTTGATAATACTGTAACTCTAGTTCTAGACTTCACAGAACTGATACGGAAAGCCTCAAAATGAATCATTTACTTTTAAGAGCCTGGCATAAATCAACTGCAAAGACTCCACTTATCTTCTTAGAAAAATTAATTATCTTTATGTTAATAGACTACATCAACGACTTACTGGCTTATTATCTAGAGATAAAAATCTCTACTCCAAAACTTAGCTGCAGCAGCACATGACTATGCAAACAGAAGGTATCTACAGCATTGCATAATTAGGTAATCTGATGCACACGAACAGCTGTGCTATCTGGGGGAAAGGTTCATGCACGAGAAATTCCACAGTACACTTTACCTAGTTTCTCCACAAGCTTTAAACAGCATGAATCCTTAAAGCTATCCCTATAGGACACGTTACATTCAGAATTGAACACATTATTTTTAAAAATCCTGTGCTTAGCATAACAATTTAAGCAGGGGAGAAAAATTATCAAAGCATTACCTGTTCCTCATGGACAAGAATTCAGAGGAAGTAAGAACGGAAGGGAACATCTGGGTCATTAAGTAACATTTCCCCCTATTAAAAGGGATAACAAACGATAATGCCTTTCATATGTTTAAGCAACTTCCACATAAGGTTAGCTGAATCTTTTTATTCCTCTGCTCTTACAGAGAGATAGTGCCTGAATCCTTCTGGTTAGATCTTTCTTCTCACTACTTGGATCCCAAACTTATTCAAAACCAGATTACAGCACTTTCTCCTTTTGCCAAAGTTGTTTCAGCTTACGCATCTCTCCTTATTGGTTGCTGCAGACCACCAGTGAGAAGGGCAGTAGCGCCTTTGCAACCTTGTTTCAATAGCCAAACCCAGCCAATCTCCCCTCTTTAGTAAGGAGCTCCAGCTCTTTTTCCTGCACTTGTCTGAAATTGTTTTTCCTCGAACACAGATAACCAGAGCAATGTACACTCTCTCAATGTTTTATAAATAATTTGAAGGGTGGTATCAATACTCTTCAATATCACCATCGTAAATACCTCACATAACGTATCTTAGGTTCAACTGCTTTTTTCCCTAGACACACATATGATGAAATCCTATGATTTCATTTAAATTTTTCCTAATGCTCTGCTGTTTCTAAATGAGCCCATTTTCTAGCAGTCATTCTTAACAGTTATGAGTCCTTGATTAGTCCTATTAACATTCAACGGACAGTTAGCTAGGTATTCTTCAGAGATCTAAAACTTCCATTTCTTACTTAAAACACTACACATAAGTAGCACAATGAGATACCAGTTTCTGATCACTGGAAACATAGAACATTATGTGTGTATATATATATATATACACACACATACATA